GGGACTATTAACGTTACCTAGTTGATCTTCCGATCAGCCCACCAGATGTGCCAGTCTGATGAAGGCTACTTGATAAGTGGCAACTTATTGGTTAAGACAATAACTAAGGACATCAAGAGTACTTTTTTTAAATATTTTTTCTTCTTCTAAAGATAGTATTTTATGAGTCTCTCAGATTCGCCCCAATGAAACATACCATAGTTTCTAATAGAGCGACAACGAAACACTAAATAAAATCCCTTCGGCGGAAACAATACTGAGAGGATTATATATAGGCAATGTCTCAGCCTCACAATCCCTCAGAGTATTGCTGTTTTCACGAGGCATACCTAACTTTACTAAAAGTCTCATTTCGTTTATTTACTTTGATATTTTCACGATACTTAGAATTTACCTACGCGTTTATTTACTCTAAGGCGTTAATATCGCCTTAATAGACCGAATCCTACAATAACAGAAAAGACATACCGGCCAAGCTGCGTCAGCTAAAATGTGACAGAGGTGTGAGTTTATTTCATAGATGTTTAAACCGATTAACAAACCATTTTACACTCCAACGAACTCGCCTGCCATTCATAGGCTCGTTGAACGCGCGAACGGCAGCATGAAAAATATCATGGCCTGAATCTTTCAGCACTCTGGCCAACCTGAAAGCATGCAGGCAGAGGCAAATCGGCACGCTACGCTGATGAATACGATTCAGTGCGACGAACAAACCCCCGAGATCAATCTTCTTGGGAGATCTTCTGGGGCGCAAAGCCGGACGCACGACTCAAGCATACGTATGTCTTCGGGAACCAGGTACACAGGCGAGGTGTGGTCGGTGTTCTACTCGGCGGGTGTGGGTAGAATGTCGTCTTCTTTCATGGATGTGGTCTGCAACCATGAGGATGGAAAGTGTTCGGCAAAAGTGCTTAGACCGATTGACTGGTCGTTCGTGGGTATCCAGGAGATGTCGGTGGCGGGTCGACAGACTCTCCTGTCGTGGTGGTTGACTTCCATCCTATGTCGGTGAGCGTACGTATGTCTGAGGTCGCCTAACCTGTCTCGTCCCCAGTACCCACACCGGATAAATATCCACCTCTGGACAGCCTCCTTTTCCCGTTGGACCGAAACACACACACACCCTTCCGACGACCCGTCTACCCACATTGATAACCTACCTGCCCACCAGGACCCAACCTGGAACGTCCTCCTTCGAAGTCTTATGTCTTCGGGTATCAGATGCACAGGCGGGGTGTGGTTGGTGTTTCACTCGGCGGGTGTGGGTAGAATGTCTTCCTCTTCCATGGATGTGGCCTGCATCTATGAGGATGGAAAGTGTTCGGCAGAAGTGCTTAGACCGGTTGACTGGTCGTTCGTGGGTGTCCAGGAGATGTCGGTGGTGGCTCCACGGACTCTCCTGTCGTGGCGGCTGACTCCCACCCTATGTCGGTGGCACCTATGTATGAGGACGCCTAATCTGTCTCGTCTCCAGTACGCACACGGACGAATATCCACCTTTGGACGGCTTCCTCTCCCCGTTGGACCGACACACACTCACCCCTCCGACGACCCGTCTAGCCCAAGACCTCAGGACGCCTAACCTGTCTCGTCCCCAGTACACACGCGGACGAATATCCACCCTTGGACGGTCTCCATTTCCCGTTGGACCGACACACATACACCCCTCCGACAACCCGTCTACTCACATTGATGGCCTACCCACCAGGACCCAACCTGGAACGTCCTCCTTCGAAGTATTGTTGAATGTGGCAATCCAGGAATACAACAACAAACATTTGCCACCATAGTTATAAGGTGAATGACCCCGTATCACCTTTTCAATAGATACCCCTTGGCACTGCGGACTTGGTCTGTCAACATCAGGAAGTGAACCTACGGGGTCCCTGCCCGGATGCTGAAACCGCGACCTTCCCTGACCACACAGAGGACAACGATGCGGCTTCTGCGTAACATGACCAGGACCTCTGTGCTAACCAACCCAAAAGTGGTAACCGCTTCCTGCACCACCGCCTGATATCCCATTCACAATCTCCGAAGCATCCCATACGGATGCCCCCCCCCTCCACAACCGGCGCACGAGCACAGTGCGCCACCGTATCCCAGTAACGGGGACTCCGGTGCTCTGCCAGCTTAAGGTCCTGAAACTTACATGCATGGACCAACTGGTGGGCCTCGAGAAGATCCTTGCGATTATCTAGACGTTATATAACGGCTACAGCAATCTCTCGGCAGGCCATCTCCAGGCCCTGGGACAACAGAAATGTGGGTGTTCTATCCCCACCTCATTTCTTCGCTCTATTTTCGAGACATGCAGTGACTGCATTCGGGTTGGTACTCCAATTGGTTACACACAAGGACTATTACAACAGCCGACCTGACCGGCGGCCATGTGCGACAAGGTCAATTTGGACTATTTGTCCTTTCCTCCTGACGCCGAAGGATACTCACAATTCCTACTGTCCAAGACGGTTGTACACTTCGGGCTTTCAGTGAGCCTCTAAGTCGACCAACATGCTCGCTTCGGTACTAATTCGCTTCTATAGTAACACACACATTGTTCCCATTGGCCATGTCAAAACCTATATTATCGACAAGAGCAGTACATTCATCAGTGATGAATTCGGTGCCTATTCAGCAAGCACAAACAGCAGCATCCATCTAGTCACCGCGTCGACTGGTCCGAACCACCCGTAACGCTCTTCAACGTATTCTCGGTTCCGGCAAACACCACCAATGGCGTCAGGAACTCCCAACTTCCTCGCTAACTACAACGCCTCGTTCTCCACTACCATACAGACCTGTCCGTATGCGTTGGAAACTGGACGGTCCGATAAGTTGGTTGAGGATATTCTCGATGCAGCACTCGGCTGTCCCCAGCCTACGGTCTCCCTACAACCCGCACACTGCCCAGGGAATCGACGTTGCGCTTGCTGTCGATAAGGCACGCTCGTCTTAGAAAACATCTGCGGACAGACACATCGGATCCAGACCCCTATGATAGCCGTTGGCCGTGAAATCATCTACACCCTCACGCAACCGTCCAACCATAAGCTGACCAAAGATTGGCTCGGCCCTGCCACAGTACTTACAGACACAGCTCAGGTTATGCACAATATCCTTGACAAAACTTGTAACAAGGAGTTCCGTGTCCACATTAAGACTATTAAGGCACACTTGCCATCAATCGGACAGGAACTCCGGCCGATGGGCGCTATCGTCGCCTCTGCTTTCGGAATCTGGCTTTTCTTCAACTTCCCACTTGCCGATGACCCCAACGAAGCACACCTGGCCGAACTAGTTGCCATGTTTTGCACCAGTGTGCCAGCTAAAGGCTCTCTTTGTGGTTGTTCTCGACAGCCTTCAACAAATGGAACACCCTTCCGCGGACCACAGGACGTCTCTATCTACGCTCCGCGAAGCATACGAATTCGCCCACAGCCGCTCTGCCTGTGACCAGAAAATATCTTCCTGGCACGCTAAACAGCAAGCGATCCGACTCACTACCCCGATCAGCTGATTGGACCCGATGCATATATCTATACTACCCTATGATTCGTAGCACACACACATATATTTGTGTTTCTGTTCTTGACACTGTCACACCATATAAGTTATAGACTGGATGTTGCACCCCAGATTATACAAAGAAGCTGAAAGGAAGTTTAGGAAATAAACAGTAGAACTGTTTGCAGCAGTACACAATACGCCCACAGACAAATATTACACAAAAAAACAGAATGCGCCCCTACAGAAATGGTCGCAAGAAGTGAATGCATGGGCGAGCCCACCAAGGGAACTCATACCTGATGTCCTTGACAAAGTCATCGAAGGAGCAACCAGCATCACGATATGTGTACCATACTACCCCAATGCAATGTGGTTTCCGAAGTTCTTGTCTTTACTAAAAGAGAGCCCGATGCTTGTGGAAAACACAAACAATACGTTCCTCAAAGAAGGCACAAAAGTATGTGGCAAGACCTCATGGGGTGTCACATTAGTCGCAAAGATAGGAGTGAAGTCTCCATACTTTGACTAACGCGGGAACAACCTGCCATACACGTTTCAGCATCACAAACAGTTAGCTCTGGAGATGCATCACATGAAACAGAATACGAAACAACATGCGTCAGCATCATCGAACGATACCACAACTTGGGACATTACCCCCCTGAGGAAACAATAAACTAGTTGGAAGCAGATAGACACTATTGGCCACAAATCCAACAACATGCACACAAATGCATCGAAGGATGCGTACCATGTCTCAAAAAATAAGATCCATAAAAAGGGAATCCATCCCTTACAATCAATCACCGCCCCATTTCCAGGTGACAAAGTCCAAGTGGTTACCATTGGGCCACTACTGGACTCAAACAAAGGACACACATATGTGATAGTATGACTAGATGTACACTCATCATATGCCGTACTCAGACCAATGATGGACAAATCAGCGGCTACTGTAGCACGTACGCTGGTAACAATAATGTGTGAACATGGGTTTCGACACATCATACATACCGACCAGGGCGCTGAACAAAAAGCTAGTGACATACTTTCAAAAGTCATTGAACAAGCGCCGACACAACACTGAATCTCTCGCCCATGCCAACCTAAAGTCTTAGGCGCAAACAAGCGATTACATAGAGACCTCATACCACTGTTACAAAAATATGATGAACAAAACCCAGGTAACTGATGTTCCCGAATTCCCTTCGTATAGAAGGGTCACAATCTGCGCACCTCAATAAGACATTAATGTGTACTTCGGTCGCAGACAGAATCAACTCACAACACACCAGTGAACGCACCAGTACAAAAGTATCTTGGGGAGAGCGATTGCAATGTCTATAAGAGGCCATTAGGCCGCAACTAGACATTAATGCTGCGCAATATCAAGAGAACATGCGTGCAGCATATGTCCGAAAATACCAACAACAAAAAAGTATGTACATTTTCAGGAAGGGAACGTTATCATAGTCTGTTATCAAGGTGAAATGAACAAGATGACAGCATCATATGGCGGACCATACACAAATAGTATGCAGGGAGGGCAACAGGTATTTTGTCTGTATCCTTGATGGGGCTAAAGCCCCCGAATATCCTAACTCGGTCAGTGATGAGCCAATTGGATTCGCAAAAAAAGGCCAATGCTCTGGAAGTATTTACTTCCAATAAACACGTACAACCAACCGAGGAGACTCGGTTCTCCTTGACATTTGACCATAGGTCGTGCATCCGAGGTGATGGGCAGGAGTACCTACTGCATTGGACGGATGGGGAGCCTACCTGGACGCGTGAATCAGACATCACAGAAGCTGATGTTCTTACACTATACTGTCAACGCACTCGACGCAAACGAAGGCAATCAAGGCCAAAACAATTAAGAGCAACGAGCACTGATGAATGATCAGCAAGCAACAGAAAGCGCATGAGGCGGGGGGCCTAAGCAAGTCTCACTGATACCAAGAGACACTCCCACTTTTCTTGCCTTGAAGCTTGCTCCGTCCACACACCAGAGGGATAGGGACCAAAGACTCGGTTGTAGAGCCACCGTTGAGATGCGCTTTCCTAGGCCAAGTTGAGATCAACGAGAGCACCGGTCAATACTGACTCCGATGAACGTGGTTAAGAACTCCCGTCATAATATAATGAATTAATAGGTAATATATAAGAATAGAAAATGGTGGCAGGTTTTTCATCTTATGCCCCCCTAAGGGACAAGTTTTTACATGTACAAAACACTAACCTCTAGTGCTGTAAGATGTGACTTTCTACTCCTAAGCAGGCTGAGAATCATGAAGCCAATCCAAATCCCAAAACTTCAGAATCATGAGTTTTGGAATTAGGATTCAAAGATTCCTGATATTTTAGTCATCAGAATTGTTAGTGGTAGAACAGGTAAGCTATACCGAGACTCCGCGTGTGAGAGAAACACTCAAGTAGAAACCTTAGTCTAGAGTGAATTAGAAAACACAAATGAAGACTCAGTTCGGTTCCCTCATTATAGGGACGTTTCCTGGCTGAGATAAACGTACTTGAGAAGATGTCTATTATATCCTCTGGCTCGTACCTTTTAGCTACTCTCCATACTCTACATTTCTGATGATCGGCAATAGACGACATGTCATATACACGCCGATGGCTAACCCCCCTCCCTCCACAAATTAATCAAGGATTGGACCGGCCTGGCCGTTGTTCTTGCCCACGTGGCACCGGTGACGGGTAATATAAAGGACACCACCCTTAACAAGTAATACATAACTGATGTTAAGAACTTGAAAGATTCTATACCCTCTGCCGGACGAGACAAAATGGCCTCCGGGCCTCCCTTTTGCTTTCCGCAAGAATGCTTCGGCGATTCGTCTCCAGTACCGCCTTAATAGTGCTTTTACGAAGTGGACAGTTTTCTGCAGCCTTGACGATCACACTCGGTCTAGCATATTCACTGAGATAGGTACAGTTTTCTTCCACAATACACGAGGTCACCTACCATGCAGGAACACTGAGTCAGATTAAGTGCCGAGCTCTTCACTACCTGAAAGCTCAAGCATAAATCTACAATGTTTCTCGATGCAGATACTACCTAAATGCCATCGCACAGACTGAATCTTTCCTTTTCGTTTCGTTTGGGACTATGGTTCTGGATTCCAAGTTTTCACTCGACCCCCTCTCAGCCGCACAGTACATTACCATTGAAACGTCGTCTGCACATAGTAAGCTAAATAACGGTTGGTGGTATTGAAGTACTGTATCATCTGCCATACCATCTGATACAAAATATATGTTTAGCTATGTGTGTAATATTGGTAGCTATGAGATAGGTTTTCTAAAGTCTACTAACTATAGAGTCCAGAGATCATTGAGAAGATCCCTATGCCGAGCAAATTTAGGCACTAGTCTAGTGTATAGAGTCGAGGGAATAGAGTATATTCATATGTCACACACATTTAGACACTAGTCTAGTGTCTAGAGTCCAGAGATTGTGAAAATATTCATATGCAATGCTCATTTAATTATAGACTCTCTAGAAACTAGAGTCCAAAGGTTAGTGAGGATATCCATATGGCACACATAAATATAGATGCTAAAGTTTAGAATCCAAAGATTAGTGATGATATTCATATGCCACGCACTTTTAATTATAGTCTCTATGGTCTAGAGTCCAGATATTAGTGAGAATATTCATATGCTCCACAAAGTTAATTATAGACACTTAAGTCTAGAATCCAAAGATTAGTGATAATACTCATATGCCATGTACATTCAATTATAGACACTAGAGTTTAGTGTCCAGAGATTAGTGAGAATATTCAAATACCACGCATGTTTAATTATAGACACTAGATTCTAAGAGTCTAGAGACTAGGGAAGATGTTCATATGTCGCACGCGTGTATATACGTAATCATGGCCTCCCGCTATTTCGATTGAGAGGATCGTAGTTTCCGTGTCTTTAACAGAGACAGAAATACTCAAAGAGAATTCGCATCAGTTCAGGATCAGGCAACATTATCCTCTATTGACGACTATAATTGAGAGATTGAACGCACAGTAAATCATTGTTTAATGGAACAGTGATTCTTAAGCTACAATGAATAGACAGTAATTCACGCCGCAGAATAAAGTCTTAGGCGGACTTGTGCGCACTTATTGCTACCTCGGGTGAGCTTATTTAGATAGCCGGAGGGTCACGATTGACTGTTAGCTCGATCATATGCCTTTCTTTTTGCTAGTATTTTAGCCTTCAGCTCTGCCTGTTTGATCTTCTGTTGAGCTTTCCTCACTTCGAGCATAGCTTGATTCAAAGTCATATTTACAGTGCAGGACGAGCGTCGTGGATCTTTCTGTATAGCCATTTTCACTTTTGATCCAGGCGCTGAATTGGCGCGTATGATATCAACCCCACGAACTGCCGACTGATCTGCAGATCTTCGCACACCCATGGGCGCAACAGTATGAGTACTTCTGGCAATACCAGAATTTTTCTCAAATCTCTGGCCTGTTGTATCTTTGCTTCTTATTTTAATTCTTGCACTGGATTCTGGAGCGGTTGATGTTAAATCTCTAGTTCGCGCTGAAATATCGAAGCATGCTGATACTTGACCTTTGTGCGGAGTATTTGCAGGTGCGACCGGGTTCACCGTAGTGTCATCTCCTACTGTCAAGAAAAGGTGCGAAAACAACAATTACATACCCGTCAGTGGTTGAGCCAAAAAACTTGTGCACTTTTTAGCCACGGCTGCAGTAATCTTCGAATATACACACTGTTCACCGAAACAAATTTACACACCAAAGCAACAATTAATCAATATTGCTCAACTTACCCCGAATCGGACCGGTATCGTTGATTTGACGCGCAGGTTTGTACTTCCTACTCAAGTCAGACTTCTGCTGCAGATACGCAAGTGCGCAAGACCGAATATCAGATTGAGATGGTCTCCACAGATCATACGCAGAAATCTTTCGGATACTGAAAGTAATGGTGTGACCGGGTCAGTGAGTGACCAAGAAACGACTGAATACAAAAATGGTCAGCAAATAGCCACCAAAGACGCGCATAACACGATAATTGAAGCAAACCATCGTTTTGCGCACCTGGTTTGCAATGTACTCGTGCCGACCTGCGCTGTGGGCTTTGAAGCAGCAGCCGTCCGTTTGGTTTTTGGTGATTTTGGTGATTCTAAGACAGCCGCACGGTTCTTCCGCTTCGCCCCTCGACCAGATGCGTTACCAACGCTCGTCGCTGTGTTGCGAGAACCGCGCAATACTAATCAGCAGTTGCATTCACAGCATGCGAACCAATTTACCACTTAGGTAATTGTAATGTACAAGGGATGACGCGGGAGCGAAAAGTATATCGACAAACCTGTTTTGGTACTGACTTTTGGGCGGATACAGTAGCTGCTCAGAACAGCTCGCATGCCTTCGGTCGTTGTCACCTGGGACGGCAACTTTGCGTTTGGTATCGAAGTGTCAGATATTGGCAAACCGCTACGTCTGACAGAATTGCCCTCAACTGGCAGAACAGGGGGAGATCTTCTGGCACTCACCATAGGTGGTGAGCTGAGGAAAGGTTTCGTGGCTGTAGTCGATCTTGTACCCATATAAGATCCATTTTTACTCTGTGCGATACCACTCTGAAATCTGCGGTCCCTCTTCACCTGTCCTCGCGATGCAAGGGTAGTACCGTCATCAACCTGTGATACAGCGGCCGGCACAGCGAGTTTCTTCGACGCCGAGTCTAAATCATTATTCTGTTTCCAATGTACAATTCATTACAACTACCAGCATGTTAGTGAATCAAATGGCAGTGTATGACATAGCTAGAATATGTAGACTTGTAATTGAGCACCAAACAACTCTCGTGGATCATATCGATGTACTTGCTGATAATTAACCAAACATCACAACCACGACCAACCATACGTTGAGATGCAATCCGTGTATGAAAAGTCCGTTGCTCGCCTCTTCGAAAATCGGCAGTTGTTCCTTTCCATGCACAGCACAAGTGGTAATTAACGGCACGCTCTGCTTGCTGGAATGATTCAAAATGCAGTGACACAAAACAAGGCTCTCAGTCCTCAAATGTCGAAATACTCTCGAAATACGACAACGTGAATCTACAAGGGGGTAAAATCACTAAAGTTTGTGGTATAGATATTATTTACGTACTACTCACCTATCATCCGATGGGTTCATGCCTGGAATTACGTCGCAATCGATCAGCCATCCAGGCGGACCATCTCCTCTTACAACATTGTCACTGATAAAAAAAATAGCAATCCCAAGGTGACAAATTTACGCAAAAGTATATCTCTGGTCGCATTGCTGGGAGAGAAGAAAAACAAAAGCGACTGGAAGCCGACTACAGAACTTATGACACACATGAACTTATAGCTTCGACGTTTCAAAAAGGCAGCCTCTGCCAGGTCTTCGTGTTGTTTCGTTCTGTGCACATAGCATGATTCCTCATTGAAAAGATCCAGTCTATGACGGCGCTGAAGCCTTTAATTGAGAAAAAGTTCTAATTAGTTAGATTTATACATCGAATCTTGTCTTGTGCAAAACCAGGCGTGACATAGTATTACAGCTTATGAATATAATCAGCAAATGATAGATCAGTCCATTCAACGTGCGGAGGAAGCGAATTCATAATTCCATATTATATGAAATAGAATAACACAATATGAGTAGATTGAACAAGTTGCAGAGAGGGTGATGATAGTACAATGGTAATACGAGCCCAACACGCAATGATGTCATTCAAAAAGTAGCAGAGTGAGTGAGGATAGCACAAAAGTAACACGAACCCACCACGCAATGATGCCTGGCGTGAGATGTTCTTTCACAGCTAGCCACGAGTCCGGTAGAACGACGTAGTATATGGGGTAGTTCGGAAATAGTGAAGCACATTGTGACAGTATAGACTTGTACTTTTTCTCGGTAACATTTCCGATGGTATTTTGTCCGTTGATCATCAGAATTAGCCTACAAAGAGAGTTTATTATACTTGTCAGATAAACCTGGCGAAAAAATCGAATGACGATGATACCCAGAATTGACATACCACCAACAAAAACCAACTAGTAGCTGTTTGTGCGTGTGCCTCTGTCGAGAGAAGTCGTGCCCATCATATTCTTTCCAGTATATCGAGCGTGTACATACCTGCCGTTCAAATTCCTATTTAACCAGTTATTTATCCATTTAGTTGCATCCACAAAGTCAGGCGTGTCCGCTACACTAAAGGTTTGTTCATTGTATATAGCACGCAGCTGTACAAACAGAACCGGGTGCGACGATAGTGCCCTTGGGTTCATGGAATTACATACTAAGCGAACTTTCACCACATTTCCGCCCTCATCAATTGTTGGCAGCGGATTGTGGCTTTTAAACCACACAGCCGGGTCTAGGATCAAGCGTTTCATTTGAATAGATAAGAGTATAATTATTAGTGGGGACATCAGTATCTTTCTATGAACCGAGCGCAAGTCATAGATCAGCAGGCGTGCAATCAGATCGGGTACATTGGGTGATCTAATATCCTATGTGTGGCGAGGTTGACAACCTACCATGCCGAATCCGCAAATTAAGTTTTATGCGCATAGAAGAGGTATGAGGAATAGAAGAGCTTATTTTCAAAACAATCAGCGGTCATTGAACCAATACTTACCTGAATCAGAGACCCAGTTGTAAGCGCTGCTGACAGGGAACCTTTGCATTCGATCCGCATTTTCTAATGACGACAAGTGGGGATTGAAGTCAACTCATCGTTTTTCGTACTAAACTACTCACAGAGTGCCAGCATAGTTTGAGGTACCGAACGAACACAGTTGTGCTTCCAAAAATTGACATAGTCGACTATGGTCATACCTGCAAGTTTCCAAGCATACGCCCAAAGACACTGAACTTGCTGTGCGACATGGTTAAGATTCTGTTGAGTAAGAGTGTATTATCAATTAGTCATAAGGCCACACAGACGTCGTACTTCGGGTTTACAATATGCGGTTGAGAGATCAGTAGCAAAACTGAGGTTCACACTACAGCTTGGAATGCTCACGTGTATGTTCTCCATATTTTGCTTGATATCGACAAGTCGCAATACAAACACCTCCTTCTCATATGTGGATGTACGCTAGAGTACACTAAATCCGGGAGAACTCTAGCTACTTGGAAGGAGATAAATAAACCAATTTTACCTTATAGCGCCATGAACCTCACTGCCAATATAATTGAATACAAACCGCAGTGTAGTTTCCAACGTACCGTTGGTTGTACCCTTGGCTGAAGAAATTTGAAATGAACCTTGATGCCAGGCAGTCTAAATTCTAACGCGCGTCTCAATGCAACTCTACTGTCATGGGAATCATTTCTGTTGTCAATCACAACACTTCTCTGTCGCCCCGCACTGACTTGATTCACGACCTCTTTCAGAAGCAAACTGAACGTCGAGAAGAATACAGAGTATCAGTGGAGATGTAAGCCAAAGGCATTTATCGACTTTTAACGCTATTTACAGTTCATAGTAAACTGTAAGCTTATTCGAGCTGCTAAATATGGTGCATCTACGATAATTTTCAAGAACATACACAAGATTTCTAACATAATTTTGGAGATATTCTTGGAACAATCTCTAGTGTAGCTTACGCAAATCAGACACAGCCCAACTATAGAAGTTTGAGGATACGCTAGATACTGCTGATCTACCTAAAAGTGTTTGCAGTCCCATTCTCGACATCGTACTCTCCCTCTGTGCTGTGTACATAAGCATGAGTATTTTTGTAATTCTCGTAGTAGTAGAAAGTTTTTCCGATGCATGGTGCACCCACCAGTACGATCACCTCTTTATTCATAGCTCGAAATTCGCCTTTGATTTCCGCGCGTAATAACTCGGCGTGTTGCATGAGACCATCCGCGTTTCACATTTGTACGACACCATAGGGAAGTCGACTGATAAATTTCGGTGACAGTTGTTCGCTCGCTCACTATGGCCAT